AAAGATATAATCGGTTGACCATTATGGCAGTAAATCTATGATAAGTTCAGTCGTCATTTTTATTAAAAATTTGTCAAACGACGTTGGACGTACATCAGATCAGGTCTGGGTAAGAAAGAGATTCGCCATCAAAATTAGTTAAAGGCGTGATTCGAAATTGTGTTTGACAAAACTTACTCTGCATTAATTAAACCAAGTCTCGGCTATATATGTTTTATCATTAAAATTCATTGAGTTCTTATGGAGAGAAAATTGAATTTTACACACCGAAGAAGCATGTAATATGAGTATTGTCCATACCAAAGTTGATGAAAAAATTGCTATGAAATACACCATGCCATCTCGCTGTACAATCCTGACCCATCTCCATGTAGGATGAGCTTTTGAAGTTGTCATCGTGAATGTAATTGTCCCTATGAATGCAACAGCATAAAAGCTGAGCGCAAGACAAAGGTAGGCGATATCGAAATTCAAGCTAATAAAATAATTTAGCTCATAGACCATACGGAAAAACAGATAGGCCTACACATGACGATTAGGAAAGAATGCACATACTAAATTGATTACAGGTTGGCAGGAAGCAAAAACAAGAAGAAAAAATATTACTAACACTGAAACTCTGTCTTGTTCAACTGTGATGCATGTGAAATGTAGGACGCTATGAATTATTTATTGAGTATTACCAGACTTTGCAGAGTGTAAAGAACTCATAATCCCACCTGCAGTTCCACCAAGTGATAAATTATAGAATGCTAAACCTAACTGCGCCAGTATATGAAGTATCAATACTCCACATATATAGTAGTTTTTGTAACTGAGAGCATATACACTTTGTATTTTAATTTAGCTTCGTTGTTCATAAAATAGGAGGTACAGCGATACATACCGGAGGGTAAGAAAGACCTCAGCAATTGTGAAAGATAGTACAGTATGAACGAATTGCGTAATTGCGTATTTATTACAGCTTTGCGTAATTGTGAGTTCAGAATCAAAACGCCCCTGTGTAACGCGCCTTACACCTGGTTTATTTTAGTGGATGTAGACACAAAGCTTAAGCAAAGTACTCACTGCTTGCGTCCAAAGAGGGGAGAAATAGGCTTTGTTTTCCTGATTAGTACAGCGCTTTCAAACTATACCATACGAATGACATACAAGCGATTGTAATCACGGTGAAGAACAGGCTAAAATAGCGATTCTGGACAATAATTGAATAAATAATGCCTTCTAATGCCGATGAAACTTACCACGAAGAACAAAATTGATACTGTTCATGTAGTTAATGTTTAGGCACCGGATAAGAGCACACATAAGCCGGACTCACCAGGCGTTTTTTTGACCTTCCATCCGAATTCGATCTACGTCAATTAGAGCAAGGTCAACGATGAGAAATCCTAAGCTTACTTCTGCACTTAATGTCAAAAAGTAGTCGAAAACCAAAATTGCGGCGGCTCCTATGTAGTACATCTTTTATGTGGATAAATTTTTGCCAAGTTAACGAGATTGTTCAGGAAAAAATATTGAAAACCGAACTTTTGTCGCTCGTCTGCAATAATATGCTATCAATTATTTCTCGAGGAGTATGAAAAGTAGAAGTGCATACATATCGACCTCCGCTTCCCAAGATGTACTTTGGTCAGCCATATCTACTTCGCTTTCGCTGTTCGAGGCCTTCAAGATTCAGGGCCAACGGATTTCGAAGAGTAGTTCTACCAGGGCATTTGAAGTTCTTATACAGAGGACCATCACGAAGGCTGTGATACATCATAGAAGTGGCCAAATTTAAGTCTGTACGCGTGGATTATGAAAGTGTGAAGCAGGTCGAGCTAAATCGAGGGTGTACGACTGATCTAGATTGATAACGAATGTCACCAGTGCTGATGTTTAATTCATCTCTCCATTTTCGTATTCTGCGACGGTAGTGCGTCGGGGTTTCGCCGGAACTCGCCCAAGTAAGGTATTTGCTGTAGGGAATTAGATGATAATAGAAAAAGTAACATCGTGCTCGAACGTCGGGAAAGAGACCGATGGAAATATGGACTCTTAGTGAGCTCGTGTGTTGGATAAACCATAGCCCATCGCACTTGGAAGCTAGTAGAAGCGCTTTCAGTATTTAGCCTTGATACAATCCTTAGAAGATCGCGAGGGCTTCTAGATATTATCAAGATCGATAAGTCACTCAATCACTGCGAATTAACATCAGACACTCCTAGAGTTAAACATAGATTGATCATCAGCATCATGATATAAAGCAGGCATCTGTGCTTCAGAAAGGTCAATTTGATGTGCACTTATGCGATTGTTATACGCCATAAGCTTCCGAGACTAAAAGAACGAGAGATCTCCAAGCCAGCAACTAAGGGATTCAATCATGCAAGGTGATGTCGGCGTCAACAAGCGTTGGACCGTCGGGCGTTGAGGGCATCCACTGTCGCCCGCCAAACTCATTTTCTCTTGCACCATGTACGTAAACCTACCCTAAAGAGCCGGTCCGATAGAGCCGTTCGTTGACATCGACTTAGTCGTCAAATTCCTGTTTCCCCCCTCTTTTATCCCTTGGGCCATATATAGCAGTGTATGTTGATTGAAGGAGACAGGGAGGATAATGTTGACTAATTGATTCATCCTCATCATTCAACGTCAACATTATGAATGCTACAGGCAGTGAACTTCAACTTTCTCCGCCTGACTCACACATTTACCGAATTACTCTGCTTTACGGCTGTTTCTTCTTCACCTTACGAAGAAGCAACATGCAAGCTTACAATACACAAGGGCCAAGAGAGTGCTAAAGTTAATTATTACGTAAGAATTATAAGTATACGTTTCTGCAGTTCTCAGGCACGTCTTCTACAACAGTAACTTATCACGTTATAGAGCGATGAAGACTTTGGAGCACTCCCACCATGTTGTTCTCTTATCTCGCGCATCGGAAGGCATGGTAAGTGACCATAATAGCACCGTAGATGCAAAGTAACGGCCTTTTCGAACTTGTAGCCAAACGAAACAAACGGAACGTCAACAGCGTATTGACGAGCTTGGACCCGCATTTCAGAAGCCGCTTTCTTCTATTGAACAGAGTATAATCAACCAATCTGTCCGCCAAACCGTTTCTGGTGTACAATCAGGAGAGTTGGACCCAAATGTGGTGCTAACAGCGTACGGAAAGAAAGCTTTAGAGGCGCATGCGGCCACCAATTGCCTAACTGAAGTTATGATATCAGCTGCGCAAGGATGGGCAAAGGACTGTAATAGGAAGGGACCGCTGGCGGGGATGCCGGTTAGCCTGAAGGATGTAAGTCTTTGTTGAGCTGTCAATACGTTTACTCCTCTGATAGCTTGATACCAGACCGTAGGCGTTGAAGGTTGGGACGGCTGTATTGGATATTCAGCATGGGTGGGCAAACCTGCCCTCAAGGATTCGGCGATCATCCGCCTCTTGCGAGATGCGGGAGCTGTACCATTCGTCAAAACCAACATACCCATCACCCTTCTATCATTCGAGTCCTTCTCTGACGTATTTGGTCGCACCTTGAATCCACATAAGCACACGCACTCTCCTGGAGGATCCACTGGCGGAGAGGCTGCTCTTTTGGCCTATGGTGGCTCTCGTATTGGTATTGGCACAGATGTTGCTGGCTCAGTACGTGTTCCCGCTCATTATTCCGGCGTGTACAGCATTCGTTGTTCCGTTGGTCGATTCTTGAAGATGGGAAGTAGTACGAGCATGCCCGGACAGGAAGGTGTGGCTCCTGTCTATTCACCAATGGCGAGGACTCTCGAGGACCTGGGCGTGTTTTGGGATGCGATCATGAGCATGAGGCCTTGGGAATATGACCATTCAGTAGGGCTAGTTCCGCTCTCTCAAGCGGCAGCTTACTCATTCGATTATTATAGTGCTTAGCTATGCCCTGGAATGTGAATAAAATCGAATACACACGTACGCCAAAGTGGGGCGTGTTATGGGACGATGGTGAGGACCCTGTTCCCCACTCGATAACTGTCTTGTGCTCACCGTCCCACAGGAATTGTTCGACCATCTCCAGCGTGTAAACGTGCCCTCCAACTCGTCGTTGATACCTTGAAGAAGAATGGACATGAAGTTGTCGATATGTATGTACGACCATTGAGATATCTACTATCCCGCTCATCCCAATGTAGTAATCCTCCGAGCACGGTTGAAGGCTTCAAGATAGGCTCCCAGCTCATTCTTGCTGATGCAGGTTGGTACTCACGACTTACGTTCGACTGAGTATGACCACATTACCGTTTCTTCGCAGGCAAGACGGCGACGGGGCCCATCCGCACCTTCGAGTCAAACGATCCAGGTGTGGTCGAGGCAATGCGGATGTTCCGTATCCCAAACTTCCTGCGCAAGCTATATGCCATATACATCCGCTATGTCAAGCGCGATCCGCTGTATGCCGATCTGATTGCTGGCTGGGAAGAGAAGACAATCGCAGAATATTGGGCTCTCGTTGCTCAGCGGGAAGCGTACAAAGCGAGATGGTTCGAGTACATGCAGGAGGAAAAGCTTGACTTCGTCCTCACAGTTCCGAACGCCCTGCCTGCCATTAGACACGGTGGAATGAAGGATGGTTGGAAGTCTTGCGGATATAGCTTCCTCTTCAACATCGTACGTATTGTGCCCATCATGCACTGTGTCTGATCAAGATCTTTTAGCTCGATTATTCTGTTGGCGTGCTTCCGGTTACACATGTACATGCTGCATTGGACATGCTTCCCCTCTCCACTCCCTTCAAAGCGCGAAACGCTATCGAACGCGATACGTATCGATGGTACGATGCGGGGGATATGCATGGGCTTCCTGTTGGTGTACAAGTAGTTGGCAAGCGACTAGAAGAGGAGAAGGTCTTTGAAGGGATGTCCGTTATCGAGTCTTTGCTGAAGAAGGATGGAATGGCGTATAGCCTCTTGAATATGTAAGTTTGTATGCTACGTAAATACATGGTCATTTCCCGCCGTCTGTGTTCCAGCAGCATCGGTCGGTAGCTTAGTTGGAAGAGCGTGGGATTGCAGCGGATACATTATAACACATCCTGATGTTACTGGTTTGATCCCGGCCCAAAGGATGCATAAGATGCAATAAGTATCGTTTTAGACTACTTTTTTCGCGATCAAAACCCCTTGCTTTCCCCCCATCAAGCATCAATCCCTTCCCTTCGTCCCGTGGCCGGTCATCCTTCACACCGCTGAAGCCTGATACAGTTCGGTGCTTTATTCGAAATAGAACGTTCGAAATATTTAAGATTAGAATTCGCATTGCAGAGGTTGATTCGACTATCTACCCTTCTACGTAACTCAGCTATCCTTCACTATTAACGCTGCCATATCTCTTCATGCTGACATCGTCCCGAAACCCTCCTACGAAACCCGCGCCCGAGGGCCATCCAACAGGGGACAATGGAACATTCTCGCTTTTATTAGCGCTGTAGCTATTTGTATTAAAAACTGGACTCTGTGCGTATCTCCCCTGGAATAGAAAGCTTAGGATGCGATTGGAACCCTTCATTACGGTCTTGTGCCACCCCCTATACCAGTATCTATGACAAACAAAGTGAACGAGGAACAAAATCAAGCTGAAAGAGGATTTAGTTTACTATTCGAACAACTACAATGGAAACATTTACCCAAAGGATGCTATCCAGAACACATATGATCCTCTTCGCGATTCATCGTCTCCTTCAATAGGAGAGCCATGATCATCTTCGGGATCCCTCGGGGGCTCATCAGGTATATCGGGGTCGATTTTTGTGTCTGGAGCTGGAAGTGGCTTTTCTGAGATATAGGTGGGACAAGCATGTCGAGACTTCCATGAGAATGTGTGCGTCCCGTTCCATCTCCAGAGAAGATCAGGTTCTTTTGCCTGTGCAGGATACAAGATAATTAGCAACAAACGCCAGTATACGCTCATAATAATTAGCTATACCCCGTTGCTCTCGTAATCGCACTCGAGCTGAAAGATAGCCTTTTGCTTTTGTGCCAAATATTGGCCGCCATGGAGAGCTATTTGAAGGCGCGGTTTTCGTTGAGATTTTTCCTCTTCAATTAATTTGGACATGGGTTCTATGTTCTTTCCTGATACAATAGGTACCACTTGAAGAATACGAGGTGGCTCAGAAGGGTGATCAGGACGCGTGTTAATTACTGTGTACGACGCTCAAACAATGGTAATGGGTTAGAAGTTGCGAGTCTTACCAGTTAAACAAATCCACGTTCCTACCGGACACTGTAGCAAGACAATATATGCATTAGCAGGGGTGTTTACCAATCAACGAATATCGGAGAAAAACTCACTTGCATCTGATCCGGAAGCGTTGAATCATGCGTAAGTCCGGGATCGTTTAGTGCTATGTCATATACGTATTTAGTCTTTGTAGGCGGTGTAAGTTCTTCATTGATCAATTGCAACTCCCTCGGATGACTTGGCGAGTCGCCTTGAAACAGAGGGCACAAATTATACATGAAGACTCCTCCTTCACGTAAAGAAGTCTCGTTGTATGCGCACGGAAATAATGAAGTGGAGTCCTGCCCAAGAGCAATAGTCCACGGCCAGCCCCAGAGTTGAGTAACTACAACTATAGTCGCAAATTTATTGGGCTTTCCTACTAAGAAATTGTGAGAAATCATAGCGTCGAGGAGAGGAACATGAAGGCGGTCGTTGAAAGTCACTCCTTTACTGAATATAAATAACCCATCATAACTTGATGCAGAAGTGGTTCTTCCGAAGTGTCCATGTGGAGAAGAAGTCGAAGCCAGATAAACCTTTGAAGTTGGAAACATGACGGTCCGACAAAAATCGGCGGTCCGCTGATGTTATTCATCCCGCAAGTAGGCCGTCACTCACATCGGAAAGTACAGATTTCAGATGACCTGAAAATTTGAGGGAAAGTAACTTAAACTGTGATTTTACAGTTTCAGTTACTCGCCATCAAAGTTTCAGTGGACCTAAAAATATGTACTTTCCGATGTGACTCCGGGTCAACAACTACTTTGCATGTTGCAAAATAGTCGCTGACCCGGAGTGCGTGATGAATTGTCCGCCGCCAAAGAAGCGGTATGACCATCCATCAAAATAATTTTGAAATGAGGATAACGAGAAGGTGGAACACTCACTACTACGTGAGTCATCGAGCAGATATAATATACTTATTAGTAATATGGATAAAAAACATATTTTCGTTCGCCACCTCTTGTAGCCCTGGGTCAAATCTGGGTAGAACTTCATTTTTTGGGTCTTACATAAAACGCCGAGGTATTTCCTGTAGTTTTTCAGTTCTTTTTCAGAACTTTAGTGGGTCAATTGAGCGATGGATGAGCTGTAAATATGCTAGTATGTTCCACAGATTTTTGTGACCTTCCAGACTGCGTAAACTATGCTAATTAAGGAACATAATTACACCTACCATATCAGATTAGTAATATTATTGGCAGTTTTACTTTCTAAAATATAATTTCTGGTATTACAAGGAAGTCTGAAATTCACCTAAACTGCAGGAATTACGAATATGTTAATTTCATGGATGACCTATTTTAGATGTCGGAAGGGGAGAGGAGGCATCTGCAATTCATGTATTGAAGTTAATGACAATATATAATGGTTGTATAGTGTAGTGGTTATCACCCGAGATTCTGACGAGTAGTTAGAGTTCTCGTGACCCCGGTTCGATCCCGGGTACGACCTTTGTTTTGAACTTCCAGCTACGACGGCTTTAGAAGACATTTTGTCTCGAGGAAGCTGACTGCCAACCCACACCTACCACGCAAAAGGAGATTGTACAATGAAACGCTTCCAGCATCTATACATTCAAAGACTGTATAAAAGTTACAGTTACGAATCATTTAAATCAGTATCTTGGAGCAACGAATCGATAAGCTGCTCAGGGACTTCAAGAACTTCTGGTATGATCCCAAAGAGAGTATAATGTATTAGAGAGCATGAATCTGATATTCTGTGAAAGTGACAACCCAAGTCCAATCTGTAAAAATTGATCGAGTTGCATACGATGCCAACTGTGAACAAAGCCCATTGCTAGACAGTTCACACGACATGCATGTTCATGTATGGTCTTCTGAACTTAAAAGTATAAGAATGGCACTTATTAAGGAAGATATAGTCAGCGAAGTTTCCATAGTGGCAACAGTGTCTATGTGATCAGAAACCTGATGGAAAGTAGTGTCGATATACTGTTAGTGCACGAATTTTAGTGGGTACACAGAATATTAATCAATGAATAATAGAAAACCATGGTATTCTAGAATTTTTGGGGCGGCAGGGAGTGTCCATTCAGAATTTAGAGACGAAACGTAGGCGTGAGTTAAATATCCTATGTAGAATAGGATGTGAAAATAGGTGTCTAATGCTAGCCAGATACGTTGTAAGCATATATTTCTACTAGTAGAAAGTCCGTTAGATGACAGGAGATACGAGAACTATGCAGACCGCGTAACATCCTCATAATTGCAAAAAATACAGCGCGAATCATAACACTTATAAGTTTATAACATACAGGCTATCTTTCAGATATTGGAACCTCCTTTTGTCTAGGGATTATATGCTCCATTAGAATCTTGTAGCGAGCAGAATCTCATTTTAATTTTACATTTAACGTAAGAAGCCGTATATGATTGTCCATATCTTCCCATTCAAACGATATGTCCTGAGGATGGTTTTCCATAGTTACCACCGTATGCAATAAGTAATAATCAAGAGTATCGCTCTTCAGCCTGATCTCAGGGCGCCTCTCAAGACTTGATTCTGCCTTAGATATTCTATTATTTGAATTGGTGAGTAGAGTTGATGTTGGCAATGCGAAGGACAGGTCTGGAAAGGTTATAGGCATAAGAGAAGAATTTCGTAGGCAGAAAACGCGTTGTTTAACCAGGAGACCTCCGCAGGCCGGCCGGGGGCATTTATTTATCTCCGACCGCCCCGATCCCCAACACCGACGTTCCCCTCCCGAGTCCTCTTACCCACCCCTTGCATCTCTCCTTCCATGGCTTGAACGCTATAAATCAACAAATTCGAAGAAAACACAGTCTCCTGCCTATATGCGTGCTATCTTTCACTCCACGACGTATATTACAAGTGGAATGTTGGGCACTGAATTACTTGCAAACGGTGTACTGATGCTCTCCTGGATTACTTACACCAATATAGCATCATATCACGGTATACTGTACCATGTGGATTATCTGCCGTGATGCTTCAACCCTACGCGAATCTATCCCTTGCAGCTTCGACGAAGGATGTATCGTTGATCTCATGATCCAACTTCTTCATCTCGACGGCCCGCCGGTGCATTACCGCCTTCCGTGGAGAAGTTTTGTCACATAAGTACAAGCTCGAACGACGTAGTCGTTCACTATCGTAAGTTATGGCCCAAACAATGAGTTCTCCAAGGCCACGCGCCGCCGCCGGCGTTGACTTGAATTGGTTGGACGGATCGGCGCCGTCTGCAACGCCCAATGGCACGTCGTTCGGTATCCCATGGGCTCAAGGCGAAGTGGATCGCACAACTCCAATTTTGCTTTCGACAACGGATGGAAAAAGTGTTCCAATTCAGACTTGGCCTCTTGCATAGTCCGTCGTTTCGTTTATCTGCTTGGTTGGCGTATTTCTAACTTTATGATTCAGTTGGCCCGATGGAAGTTTGAAATGGACAGGACATGCCCTGTCATCAAACAGTGGTATTACAAGCAAATCTCTTCATCTAGCTCCAGGAACACCCGCAGAACCCACATCTCCCGTTTCAGTTTCAAAAGGTGACGGAAGCATCACTGTTACGACTGGATCATTTGCAGGTAAGTCGTATTTTATAATTATGAGATGTCTTTTCTCATATTTATCTTTCAGCTTCATTTAACACGTCCGGAACGACGCTGATATCATCTATTTCTCTATCTGGGAAACCGTTAGCACAGTCCGGTAGCCTCGTCTTGCGCATTCAAAGTGCTCCAGACCCTGATTTGGCAGATTCCGGAACGAAGAGCATTCAGCTCCCAAGTATTCTCACTATGGCAGGACGTGTGGACGCTGCCGAAGTCGAGCAACAGGGTCCTGTGAGAGCCG